GATTTCGATCTCTGCCGTTCCACTCTGGCCTGCATCTTCACGCTCAACGAGCTCCCCACTTCCGCGTCGCGCGCTGAGCAGTTGGGTTGCGCGTTAGACTATCGGCTTGCGTACCCGCAGGCGCGCTACTCGTACAACTACGTTCTTTTCGCCGCGCTGAATGCGAGCTCGTACGGCGCTCTTATGCGCTCTACTTGCTCACACCTTTCCCAGCTGCTGCTCCGTGCCGCAATGCGCGGCTGCGTTTCGACTCGGCTGCTCCCACTCGTCTTTCCCGGGCGCGACTTCTGTTTGCAACATCCGAAACTGACACACTGCTTCTTCAAAAAGTGCGTGATGCGCGCGGGGCGGTTTACGGGCAGCACAGCGGACTGGCTGACGGCACTGCTGCGCCAGCTCGCCGAGGCGCGCACAGACTGCGAGAACGTCCGCTTCGCTCGGAAGCGTTTTTGCTACTGCGTAACCGGCACCGCAGTTGAGCGCAGTGAGCCTTCCGCACACCCGCTGCGCAGCGCGCGCAGCTGCGCCAGTCTCGCTCGACTCTTCCTGCTGAGCTACCGAAAGGCCGTGAAACGAGCGCTGCGTTCCGACAGCAAGATGCGTCTGATTGCGTTTGACAAGGTGGCAGCGCTGCTCAGCTACGTTTTCGAGGCACAGCAGCGTTGCCTGGAGTTCGGCGTCACGCAGGCTCCGCTCCACGGCTTGTTCAGCGCCGTGCTGCGCTGCTACGCGCTGCCGCTGCAGCAGCTCACTCAGAACGAAGTAGGCGCGTGGGTGCTTGAGCGAACGACGCGCTGCGCCGACCAGCCCGAACGACTAGTTCGCTGGATGCACCTCGTCTGCAAGAGTTTGGACGACGCGGGGCTGCGCTGTCTCGCGCCGCACGCGGGCTCTGTCCGCGCCAATGACGCTTTAGCGCAGCACGTCTGCTCGCACTCGCCCGCGATCTTCGACAACCTCTTTGCTTGGCTGTTCCACTACGCGCTGTGCGGCGCAACCGATCTCGCCGCGCAAATCGCCGAAACGCTCCGCGCCGTTTTTCGCGCCGCGAACGTTGCCACCGTGCAGACAATCATCGGTTCCGGCACGCGCGAAAAACTGCGCCTCACGCAAAAGACGCTGCAAGCTCTCGCTCAACGCAGCGTTGAGCACAAGCTGCTGCCGAGCCTTCTCGATCTGCTGGACTTTCTGCAGCTTCAGGCCGCAAGGCTGCGGCCTGGAGAAAACAGTCGTGCAGCCGCGCTTTCGCCGAGTTGCATTCCGGTGCTTAAGGCGCTGGTCAGCCGCGCAGAAACGCGCAGCACTAGTCTACGCCTGCTCGGCGCGCTGCATTTGCAGTGCAACGCGCTTAGCGACGCGCACCTTGCAGCGTCGCAAGCGACACTGCTACAAGGTGCGCCCGACGCTCTCAGCGACGAGGAGCTTGGAAGACTGTCGACCGCTGTGCAACTGGAAGCCTATGCACTGGCTCCGGCCCTGGCCAGCGCGCAACTTACGGAGCTTGCGCACGCTCCAGCTGCGCAACCACGCGGCTCGCTGTTGACGCCGCGCTGTCGCGACGAACTCGCCACCGCAGAGAACACGCCCGAAAGCGCAGCAGCGCGTGAGCGTTCCGACGTGCAAGACGCGGCTGCGCAAACCAGCCGCCGCGCCCAAGGCTCCAAAGTCGCAAACGCTTCCAAACGAGTCCGCATCCACGCAGAAGCAGATACTCGCCTTACGCGCACGCCGCGACTTGCGGCGAGTGTGCCACAAGCGACTGAGCAATCTAGCTCGCAGCTCGCGCGCTTCGCGCTAATGACGGCGCAAGCTCTCCAGCGCGCAGAGCGCGCGCTGTTGCAGACTCTTGTGCGCGACACCGCGACTGCTTCTGCAGCAACGCTAGCGCTAGCGCTGATGCCTGCGGCACGCGACGTGCTGGACGCTCGCGGAGCCGCCAACCTGCTCCTGTTTGTAAACGCGCAGCAAGCGCACAGCCTGGTGGACGCGCGACTCCGCACGGAAGTCAGCGTCGAGGCGATGAGAAAGCACCCTTGCGTGAGCGTTGCGACGCTGGCGCTCAGCGGCGCAGCAGTGGAGCTGAGCATCGCGGACCCTGCGCGCGACGCGCTTCTGCTCCATTTGGCTGCACGCAAAGCGCAGCCGCTCGCCGAGAGTCAAGTGCTAGAGCTCGCGCTGTTCCAAGCCACGTTCTCACGCAACGCTGTGCGCGTGCAGAACGCGCTGCAGGTGGCGATCTCAGCGCCTCCGCCGAACTGCGCTCGCGATGCTTGCGCAGTGGCACTGCGCGCGCGCGCTCTGCGCTGTCTGCTGAGCGAGGCGCTCTGCAACTCACTGGAAGACGGCGCGCTCAGCCGCTGTTTCTGGAAGCGCATCGACGCGCAGTTTCGAGCGTTCCACTACTGCTGTTCACTCGCCGAAAGTTCCGCGTTGCTCGAAGGACTGATGCTGAGCGTGCTCGTGCCAGAGACAGAGCGCGCCACTTTCACGCGCTGCCACCGCTGTGTCGAGACGCGGCTAGTCGGAGAAGGGATCTGCTTGTCGAACCTGTTTGTCACGCAGTCGGAGCACTGCCATCCCGAGCTCGTTGCGACGCTAGAATGCCTGACGCACCACACGCTGTGCTGCCTGATCGCCGTAACTCTTGTGCTGCTGAACGAGGCGCTCTCGCCAAGCGAGGGCCTGGAGGAGACGCTGTTGAGCTTGGAGCTCGCCCTGCAGCCGC